CTGGAGGCTTTTTTAAGAAGAGCTTCACTATAGCAGTCAGTAGGGTGAGCTGAACCTAAGAGAAAGGGACACAGTAGAGATTAGAGAATTCATCCATGCTTTGGCAATGTCTCCCAAGTCTCAACATCCTTTACTGATATGAAACTCAAGTCCTATGCTTTTAACAGCATTACACTATTCTTTGCCCGTGAAACCCACTACAATGAGACTCAGACTCTTGCCTGTTGCAGACAAGTCCCTGATCAGCATGCTGAGATTTACACATCTCATCACTATTCTTCTATATGTTCTGGTCCCTAGTAGGGCTATTCCCCAAGAAGTATGCAACATCTAGAAACCACTCCTGTTCTGTCTTATCCTTCCAAGAAGAGAAGTTTGGGAGATACAGACAACAGAGCAAGTCTACTGACTCCCAAGAGTTTTATTTTAGCTAAATATTGAAGTTTTTATTGGGAGGTATTTTCTGACCACTGCAATAATATTTACCGTCCGTCCCATACATACACTGCATGAAACACTACAGGTAAGATGCACAACACAATTTTACCTGAGTACTTTCATCATGGAAGCCCTCCAAAAAACTCTCCAACAGCTCATCTGCATTGTCAATTCTTTCTGCATATTCGCCCACTATCCAGATCATGGCAGCTCTGGCATCTGGTTCATCCAGGGAATCTAGGTTCTCGCACAGAGTGGCAATGATGCTTTCATACCTGATTTGTCAGAGTACAGGTGGATTATTGGGGTGAATTCAACTTGTGTTACTCCACCTCTGCCCACATCGTTCTGCAGAGAACCCTGCACTGAATTACTGCATTGCAGTAATGAATGTCTTGCATTTCTAAGCAACAAGCAGCATTTTCACTCAACTACAGAACATATTCCTAGGCTTTTTCTTTTTCCAAGCTGAGCACTAAGATCTCACAGGATCCTTAAGAGCTTTGCAGTTTCATTAATCAGCAAGACCACCCAGATGTGGAATTCAAGACAAAGCTGCCTCCCTGTTTTGCTAAAGGGAACATTTGATCCAACAGTTCAAACCATGAGTCTGTAACAGATCCCACAGCCTCGCTGGCATCTTCAGACTGGTAACTCTAAACTGGATATTACACTTCCCCAAAGGCTTTGCTGTAAAACAGACAATATCCCACACTAATTATTTAGCTTCCCCTATTCCCACGCGTGGGTATCCCTGCCATAAGCAGGCAATCTGTCTTGTAACTGACAGCAGAAATTGCCACAGAGGCCTGCAGATGTCCCATATTACTTTTTAAGTGATCAGGAAGTCTCTGCTGAAAGACATTGCTGCTGTTCTGTAGCTGAGGAGACAAAGCCTTATTGCAGAAACAGCTTAAAAGAAGCCCAGTACTGCCCAACACAGAGAGAACACTCGATTGAGAAAGCCAGCAGTGTTTTGTTCAACATAATCTGACTGGGATCTCAGACCATGAGAGCCATGAACTTTCATGGCCTTGTAGATAAGCCTTCTAGAGGAGACGAGCAAAACCAGAAGCCTGATGCTGTAAACTTGGTCAAATTCTCCTTCTGGCATTCTCTGTAAGAGCTTTACTACCTTTTGATTAAGCCTTATACTCAGCATCAATGTGGAGCAGTGGGGAAGGAAAAGCTTTCAATTCAAACTAATAATGTGTCAGGCTGATACCTCATCTAGAGCCAACATCTGAATCTTACTGTACTAGGAGCTAGAATCAGAATGGACATTGCTTTTCAGAAAAATGGCCACCTTAGCTTACCAGGGCTCTGAAGTAATGCTGAGTTTTACATTGCTCTATTCTGATGCTAGCAGACAAGGGCTTCCAAAAACCTTATACGACTTTCACTTACTTGTTGGGGTACTTGCGGAAGATGTCTCTGATGACAACAATGGCCTCCTGGACCACATAGTTGACCTTGGTCTGGATGAGGTCTAGCAGTGTGCTCACGCAGCGCTCCGCAGATTGCTAGAGAGAAGAACAGAACAATACAATTAAAACAAGCTGAAGAAACACTCCTTCCCAGCCCACAGCACATGCTGAGGAATGAGGCATGCATATGAAAAAGGCCCAGAGGGGGAAAACAAAAGGACAACAGCTACCAAACTCAGTATGCGTGTCCAGAAAAAAACCACAGGTTGACAAGTGCTTGTGTACTACAGTGGCGACACCAGCTGACTCCAGCTCCTGCAATAAGTAACGGTTGAAGCAACCGTGCCAGTAGATAGCTGGCTCACCACACAAGAGACCTTAAGAACATTGCCTGCATTACTACTTATATCACCCTCTTGCTGGCTAGCAGCTGAAACAGGCCACCGAATGAGCTCTCTTGGACTTGCTCAAGCTGTGGCAACCAGAGCTGGGAGCGTTTTGACAGGGACTGCTGGAAGGTATCTGGGGAAGCTAGAAGGCAGCAGAAAACCACGCTGTCAATCACGCTAGAAGAACAGCAGCAAAAAGCAGCTCACACCAGCAAGAGGTTCAGTATTTTTAGGGTGAGATCACTAGCAATATGTGAAGATACAGCTATAAATAGAAATCCAGCTGTTGCTAATGCAGCTTTCACATTAATTAGTTCAAAATTCCCAGCCACAGGCGCCATAAGATAACAAGGACTGGACACTGGCACACTCCAGGAACCAGAACTGGAGTTAGAGGCAAATAATTCAGGGAGGTCTAATCCCAAATAGCACAGTGAGGCAGGACATCACAGGAGCAACCAAATCCACCACTGGAGAGTCTCAAATAAGGACAGCAATTTGGCTATTAGCAGAGCACATATGAAGCCTCATTACACAGCTGGTGATTAATGTGAGAAGCAGACTGCTCACGGCGCTGCCTAGGCAGTCACCATCAGAACATTCATAAGGCATTCCGGATCGAGACAAACATCGTAGGGCACAAACAATAGCAACGTAGGTGATTTTTCAATTCAAGTGAGCTAACAGTCCCCTTCACTTTCAGAGCACTTGAAGGCTAGGCAGGAGGAGGAGGAATGAAATGGCATTCAAGTCACAGGAATCAGTTTTTTGAGAATGGGCAAAAGTCTCAAGGACAAACCTCAAGACTTGTAGAGCTGAATTTGGGACAAGAAGAGACTAAAACCTCTTGGTGATTTCTTGCCCTCCTGAATCTAGCCGCGGTATCTTACAAACACAGCCTACAAGCGCAAACCGTGGCAATGCTGGCAAGGGGATCAGCCAAGAGAAGAGACACTATAAACCAGCATTTGCTCCGTCTTTGCAAACTGGCACTAAAGGCCATAAGACTCTCCCCTGAAATTCACACCAAACAGAAAAAATCCAATACAACTGGTATCAGAGTAAGGAAAGGTATCATATAAAATTATATGATTGCTATCATACATTTTTATGATACCTCTCCCTCCTTAGCATGGCTTTATGCCACTATGCCACATACCTGGCTTTATGCCAGGTACTATGCCACTATGGAGGCAGTGAAATGGCAATCTGACAGTGTCCTACTCTGATCTCTTCTCCTGCTCAAGAAGGGATTTGAGGCCTGTGACCTGGAAGACTCTTCCATTTCATGGAGACTGACCATAGACCTGGCTCACAGTAGGAACCCCACTCAAAGTCCTTGCAAGACAGATGCTTCAAAGCTTGCAATTTCATCTCTTACCAGTTTCTCAACAACCTTCGCTAGATGTTTTAGCAAGTGGCCTTAAGGGGCACTCGGGGTAAATCTGTCCTAACCCAACTCTGCTCTACAGAACCTACAGCATCAGTCACTGTTTGGAACAAGCAGTCCAGCCCTATCAGGGCCTACAACTAGCAAAGTTTTAAGAGCTGCAGAATTCAAGGAAAAGCAAATTAAGGTTTATTTTTCTTTTCTTTAGACACTTCAATGGGTGATTTTTCCAGGAGGAGCACAACATCCACTTTGAAATATGCAGTATTTATCTTTAGCCCAAGAGTCCCTTGGAAAGTGAACAGTCATGTGGGCACATGCACAGTAGAGCAGTCCCTCTAACAAAATTTCCCTGGAACAAAATACATCTCAGCTCACCCCACCCCTCGTAAACACATTGCTGTTTGAAGGTGGACATCCCTGGGGACTGCAGTGATCTGCAAACCGATGAAAGAGTGCCCCAACCAGAACAGCTCTCAAGTTGGAGTGAGGAAGGACAACCAACCAACGTCAAAATTGCTTTGCTTTTCTGTAGAAACCAAATGAAAGCCTGCAAGATTACTGAAGCAGCACGTACCACGCTCACAGCCATAAGCCTCGCAGAGGCGATCAGCTCCGGTGCAGGCGCGTCCCGCAGCAGAGCAGCGGATCGCGGCGTACAGGGGGGTTTCCTGACCCAGGCAAACTGCAGGGGAGTGCAGGGGCCTGGCAGCTCTCACAAGGGCGGCTGATGAGGCACGGGCGGGACCAGCAGTAATAGCGGCCACCCCCCACTCCCGCAAAAGGCAGCCCCAGGGAGCGCTAGCGACCAGGGCGTGGCATGGCAGCTAGGGCGTGGCAGTTTGTGCAGGAGGGCACCTCTTCGAAGGAGGGGCATTGCATGGGCCGAGTGGGAGACTTGGAGTACACATAACCCAGCAACGAGGCACCGTTCTGTGACCATTGGCAAAGGTCAAGGGCACTCATCCTACCTGACCCTCAAGGTAGAATGGTGGGCACTCATCTGAGAGCAAAGGACGCGGCTCCGGCTACGGGGTCTGCACCATCTCCCCCAGCGGTGGCCGATGCCTCCACCCAGGCAGAGCTGCTGAAGGAAGAGGCTGCAGTGCACACCTCAGGCTGCAGGAAACATCTAGACCTTTCTCCTGGGGCAGGGACAGGCAGCAGACCTGCCTGCAAAAGGTGTGCCCAGGTGGAGGACCTCCTGCAGCAGGTGGCTGAGCTGC